ACCCGCAGGTCCCACAGGTTTCGCAGGTCGCGCAGGTCCCGCATGTCCCACACGTCCCACAGGCGACGCATGCCCCACAGGCCCCTCAGGCCCTACAGGTCCCACAGGCCCCACAGGTCCACCCAGCCCCTCCGGTCCCACAGGTCCCACAGGTCCCACATGTCGCGCCGGTCCCGCAGGCCCCGCAAGTTCCGCAGGTCCCACGGGGCCTACAGGTGCCACAGGCGCCACAGGTCCCACTGGTATCGCAGGTCCTGCAGGTCCCACAGGTCCTACGAGTCCCTCAGGTCCTACAGGTCCGACAGGTCAGGCAGGTGTCGCAGGTGGCGCAAGCCCCGCAGGTCCCACAGGTCCCACAGGTCTCGCAGGGACGACAAGTTTTGCAATTTCGAAGGCCCCACAGGTCCCACCAGACCCACGCGTCCCACAGGTCCCAAGGGTCCCACAGGTCTCGCAGGTGCCTCAGGTCCCACAGCTACCGCAGCCCGCACAGCTCCCACAAGTTCCACAGGGCTCACGCTCCCAACATTTCTCCCAATTCCGGCAGGTTCCACAGGTCCCGCAGGTCCCACAGGTCACCTTTGGTGTTATTAAGATGGTTCCTGGGGTGATGTTTGCAAGGCGAAGGCGCGTGTAATTGCATGCGCTGCGCGCAGTGCAGAGTGAACCGTGAGTGCAAGTGCGAAACGCTGCCATGTAAATTTGGGATTGCGCCCGTCCTGGAATCTTTTTGTGAACTTGCGGTTGCGGTGGTTTCCATCGTGGTCAATCCCCCCCGAAGGATTGCAAAAAAAAAACTGAGGATTGCAACAAAACCCTGCATTGCAAAAAAACCCTGGGTTTTTTTTGCAATGCAGGGTCTTTTTTTGCAATCCAAGGGTTTTTTTTGCAGTCCTTTTTGCGATGCCCCCCAAGGAGAGTGGGCGGCACCACCACCACCTGCCGGCATGTGCTGGGTCACCTCCGGCAAGGAGGTCCGCGATGTCTTCCAGAGTTTGTTGGGGTCCCGAAGCAGTGCGGTGACGGACCGTGCGGTGACCTCGAAATCCCCGAATGCCTCACGGCACGGTCCGTCACCGCACGGTCTTGGGACCCCGGAGGCCCCCATCGCCTGAGACATCTTCGGAGAACGACCCGAGTCCCAAAACCATGCGGTGACCCCGAATCCCCACCGACTCACCGCACGGTGTGGCCACCACCCAATTTGGGGGCCCCCGAGAGTTGGAGATTTGAGGTGCCTTGAGCGGGGCCACACCACCAAGAGGACCGTGGCTGGCTCGTACCCGTGGTGGTGGTTCCGAAGCTGGGATGTCACTATCCATCACCACCGGCTAGGGTTAAGTCGGGCGTGTCCCCCTACAGGGGGATTTTGGACGACAAATGAAAACAATAGTCAAACAATATCCCAACATAGTCAAAACATGCTCGAAAAATCGTCCCCTGATTTTTTGTTTGACAATTTTTGATTTTTCCGCCTGTAGAGGGACAGGCCTGACTAAAGGCTAGGGGATCGATCTTTGGGGACGTCGGCGGGCGGTGGATATGATATGGATATGCTGTGGCCCTGGGGGCCAAACAGATCTAGCTTTTTTAGCGTCGTCTTCCCCTGCTCCTGATCTGGCGGCTGGGGACAATCGAGGCGGCGGCTGGCTGTTGTCTGGGAACGTTGAACCCTGTGAGGTCGGGTGGCTTCGGGCCCCAGGGCCGTCAACAAAGGGATTGATTGTAGGCGCATTCCGACTTGTCTTCATGGAATTGGTGGGTGGATTACAGGCTGCATGCGTACTATCAGGACGCAGCTCAGGTTGCATCCTCGGGGCTGGCTTCTCATGACCAACCAGCCTGGGGAAGCGGTGTCGAGCGGGCTGGGGGCAGGGGGGAAGTCTGAGCTGCCGTCGGGGATGTGGGGGGGGGGTCGGAGGGGAGGGTTTCGAGGACGAGCGGGGGGAGGACGGGGATCTGTTGGGCGAAGGGAGACCACGACACGAGGGGGAGAGGCGAGAAGACGGATGACGAGCATCTGGACGCCCGAAATGGGTACGGAAAGAGTGGGTACGATGCGCAACAGCAGTTCCTGTTCGTTTTGAACAGGACTCGCTGTCCGCGCCGCCGCGGCCCGTGTCCATTTGAGACAGAAGGCCGCCCGCTCAACAGCGGCCGCTGTTGGTTTGGGACAACACTTGTTGTTGGGCATTGTACCCATTTTTTCCGTACCCATTTCGGGCGTCCAAAGAGCAGGAGGAGAGGGACGATGACGAGGATCGAGGATGGGAGACGTTCTGTTGTTCGTGTTTCGTGTGCTTTTGGGGCCCCCCGAGGTCTCCAGGATAGGAGGCGAGTGGAACGGGGATGGGCGATCGGCGAGGACGTTTTCCATGTTCTTCGAGCGTGCTTGGATGCCTTCTTGGGTTCTGTGGGGGTATCTGGGGAGTCTGGAGAGTCCGTGTGGGTTCTGGGGGCCACGGGGGAGAGTGGAGATGGGAAGGATGGGGGAGGCGAGGGAGGAGTGGAGGGCGGCTGGAATGGGGGATAGGGGGACGGGAGGGGAGGGGATGCGAAAGGTGGGCATGTGTCAGGCGATCGCAAACACGGGTCAAGGGGGCGTGGATTAGAGACGGGTCCCGTTTCCATGGGAAATCGCGGATTTCCGCTGCCGAGCGAGGCGGCACCGGCCGCATTTTGGGGAGGGCACCTCCCCCGATCCATGGATTTGGGGACCGCGCGCCAAATCCATGGAGCGCTAATCCATGTTTGCGCGCCCCCGAATGCGGGGTGGGGGGAGACCGAGGGTGGCACGGGTACAAGAGGATGGTGGCGACCAAGCTAGCTGCGTGCGCGCCATATCTGACATCCTGTCCCTCCATCCCTTCCCATTCCGCTGATGTTTCTCTATCCGCCGACTGGGGTCATAGCAGACCTGGAACCCCAAGAAGGCACCATCGTGCTCATTGTGCGCAAGCCGGAAGGGAGACAGCGACCAGTGGAGGCGGAGGAGGTGGCGGATGGGCAGAGGGACGGTGAGGCTGGACCAGGAGGGCGAAGAGGAGCAGCAACATCAGGAGCAGGAGTGGGAGGAGAGGGAGGAGCCAGAGGACCAGGGGAAGGTGGACGAGGACCTCCTCATCCTCTTTGTCCCTCCTCATCCTCCTCCTCCTCATTCCTGCTGCCCCTATCCTCCTCCTCCACCTTCTCCTCTTCCTCCTCCTCCTCGTTCTCCTCCTCCGCCTCCTCCTCATCCTTCCGCGCTGTGGCGCGAGCGTCTTTCTGAACGACCAGAGCACAGCGCCAATCCTACAGTGAGGCCCACGCTGCATCGGGAGCACCAGCTTGAGACACCAGAGATGATCCGATACAGCAAGGGGCGTGCCAGAGCAACGTATTAAATTTTGTGTGTGTGTGTGTGTGCGAGTGTGCGAGTGTGCGAGTGTGTGTGTGTGTGTAAGTCATACACGGAGAGGACGAGGCACTCTCGGGACGTAGTCGTGGAGAGTGGGGAGAAGTGTTCAGATGGAGTTGTTGTGGAGGGCACGAGGGGGGGAAGGATAGAGGGAGTGAGGGGAGGGCAGAGGAAGAGGGCGGTTGAGGAGGAGGAGGAGGAGGAGGAGGAGGAGGAGGAGGGGGAGTGGGAGGAGTAGGAAGAGGAGGAGGAGGATAGCGAGGGGAGGGGGAGGTGGAGGGGAGGAGAATGGGGAGGGGGAGGGGAGGGGAATGGGGAGGGGAGGGGAGGAGGGTGGGATGAGAGGGGACAATTCGGAGGCGGCTGGGGGGGCTGAGATGGGGCCGTGTTGGTTGGGTTGGGGGCTCGGTTGCTGATGATCGTTTTGTTCTGTCGGCAGATCTACTGCGGTGGCTGTTTGCCGTCGCTAGAAATGTTGTTGACATGGCAGAGTTCCGGTAAGTATTGCGAAATGAGTTGGCCCCCCCTCCGCCTCGGTTTCGGCGGCCCCATTGCAAATCAAGCCCCCCTTGCCGCTTCCAGTGGACAGCGATCTTGGTGCGATCGCATTAATTTAACCATTGTCGCTCGTGGGATGGCTCCACAGTCACTGCGGAGTGGTCAAGACAGGGTGGGGGCGGGCGTTCTGGGACAACCGTAGTCCTGGGGCAGCCATGTTCCTGGGCGTGTCGTGGTGCATGTTTCCCCTGCGCAGTGATGTGGCTGGGTAAACTTATTTGGCACCAAGTAAGTGGGGGCCCATGCCAAGAAACACCCTGCTTGCCTCCAGGGTGCCCTGGGTTTCTTGGGTTTCCGTGGATTTGCTGCGCGTGACGTTCCCACACCAGAGGTCCATGGACGTCTTGGGGTCTCAGGGTTGGGTTTGTTGTGGAAGGTTTCTTGCAGACGGGCCTCCATTGTAGGCAGCCTTGTGTACTCTCGTAGTTCAGTCGCTGGAGTGCATGAGCGTCGATTAGCGTCTGGTACTCGATGAGCTCGTACCGATGTAGCGTCGATCAGCGCCGACGACCGTCGATGAGAGTCGAGTTGGCGTCGATTTGGCGTCGATTAGCGTCGGTTCAGCGTCGATTAGCATCGACGAGCGTCGATTCGCAAGAGCCAACAAGATGGCATGAGAGGATCCCATGAGTTGCCGCAGAAAACTCAGCGCAGATAACGTTACCCATCTGGCTCCGCCAACCCTTCCGTCCGTGCCCTTGATTTGTCGTTCACTTCCTCGTCCTCGTTATCGCAGTCCTCTTCGGGTTGATGATGCTATGTCTTATCTCCGCTGCGAGCGAGTGGGGGAAGTGAGAAGGAGATGGCCTTCTCAGGAGGCGGCGGGTTTTCTCAGAACCCCTCGCCTTCTGAGAAGTTTGTGTCTGTCTTCGGAGAGAAGGCTTACCAAATTTCTCAGAAGGCCGGGGGACTTCCGAACTTTCTGAGAAGTCCTTCTCCTTCTCACTTCCCCCCTTCGTTCGCTCCCAATCATCGCAATCAGGATCATCCTCATCCGGATCATCATCATTATCCTTTCCCTTCCTTTTCACCCTTTCCTCCGCAGACATTTGAGCCCAATCAGTCTGGCTGCAGAGTCGCACAAGTCGCTGCAGGAGCTGAGCTTCCAGGGGCAGCGAATACGCACCCTCGGCGCGAGATGGGTGCCGCGTCGGGTGCGTGCTGCCAGAAGCAGACCGGGAGAGTCCCTCTGGAGGCTCCTGTCTTCCTCCACGCCCTGCCACGTCCGCAAGCCACGCTTCTGCCCCCTCTCTGCGGAGCTCTTCCGTTCTGCACGCGACCCCTCCCCCCCTCGTATAAGAATTGCTCCAGAGAAGTAATCCAATCAGTGGAAGGTTTGAAATGGGATCAATACAGAGATCGATAAGGAGATCGACCGGGAACACGGGAACCTGGAAACCCGGAGCCCACCGAAATCGAACCGGAACCAGTGACCAGGAACCGGGGAACCCAGAACCGGGAGCCCAGGAACCCAGCCAGCCACCAATATCGGCGGGAAATTGTTACCCAATCTTCTAATTTCCGCTGCAGGACCCCTTCAGTGCAAGCATTGATTTGGGAAGAAACTGATTGAGCATAAACTTTCGGAGGGCCGCGCGGATGTTTCGGACTAGCGCCAGAACACCCCAATGTTTGTTGCCGTTCTTCTACCTCCTCCTTTACGTTGCATTTTGGGGGGACCTCGCCTGGCCCCAAAGTTAGTTGTTGTTTTTCTTCTGCCCGACGCGGGCTCGATGCGGACCCGACGCGGATTTGGCGCGGATTCGGCGCGGATTCGACACGGACTCGGCACGGATCCGACGAGGCCGACACGGATTCGACACAGATTCGACGCGGATAGGGCCGCGACGGGAAAGTCAAGGCCCCCCAAAGATGCAGCATGATTCCTCTTTGCCCTCCTGCCTCCCTGCCATCCCCGCTCCAGGTCTTGCTCAGCGACTCTCAACGACCACCAGGGGTCTCGACCCATTATTCCCCAGGACCGGTTTGTCCCCGGGTCCGGTTTCTCCCATTCTACGGGAGCCCCTCGCGGCCCGCGCACGCGCCAACCCGGGTTTTCACCCCGGGGCCGCGCGCCCAGAGTCTCGCACCCCGGGCCGCGCACACGTTTCGGGACTCCATCCTGGGGCCGCGTGCGTGACGCCTCGCCTCACGCACGCGGTTACTCCAAATCCTTTGTTAAATCGCCCCCCGGGTCCAGTTATTTCAGGTGCCCTTTCTGTAACTGGGGGGGTCCGGTTCATGAGGGCGCTTTCTTTGGATTGGAGCCTGTAGGGGTCCGTCGAAGAGGGGGGGGGGCGGAATAGTAGGTCGCATTTGGAGGGGGGTCAGGTTTTTAAGGGGGGTTGATTAAAAAGGGTTCTGGAGTATCCGCGCGCCCGGTCAGGGCACCCAGAGGCCGAAAATTGCCGAAAGCCTTCCCACAGAGATCCTCTCCTGCGGCTTCTGTTCCCCCCCCCCCGGCGGCCCCTCCAGCACGCGCCCCCCTCCCTGCAGAGGCGGAGCTGGCGGGGCCGGGGGCTCTGGGCCGGCCGCCGGCCCTCCGCGTGGGGCCCGCGGGGTCCGTCCCGATCTACAACGTGGACCTCCACGGAGACGCTTCTTTGGGCACGAGCGAGCTGCAGCGGTACTACGCCGTGTGCAGGGAGGCCATCGTCCAGGCCTCCCAGATGGGGTCGGAGTAGACTGGGTCGGAGGATCGCGCCGCATCGCCGATGCATCGGCCATGCGGCTCGATGCGGGGCCCGATTTTCTCCACGCTGGCGTCGCCGATACACCGCCGACGTCGGCGATTCGGCGATGCGGCGCGATCCCCCCTCGACCCCATCTACTCGGACCCCATCTCGGAGGCCATCGTGGGCAGAAAAACATATATATATATATATATATATATATATATATATATATCCGTGTCCACAGCCTCGCTGGCCGCTCGGCTGCGACTCTTGGATTAGATGTTCGTTGTGGGGACCTTCCTGGGGCCCACCTAACGGATCTGATCGACTCTAGTTCGACCACAGTTCGACTCAAGTTCGACTCAGGTTCGACTCGGGTTCGACTCAAGATCCATTCAAATCGACGGACGTTCGACGTAGCTTCGACGCACGAGTGGAGCGAGTGTCTCCAGGGAGGTCCCAAGAATGAGCACCCAACTTGGAGAGAGTGGGCGTTTCGCCTGCGGACGCCCCGCAAGGAATGTGGCCACGCGGCCGCGCATCCACGGTATGTCGCGCCCCAGTGTCCAGGCCGCGAGAGCGTCGATAGGGATGTGCGCTCGCCGCTCGTGAGGCCACCGGGCTGCACGTGACGACGTCCTGCTTCACGTCTTGGAGGCAGCAGAGGAAGACGAACGCCCACGGCAAGGTCATCCCCACTGTCCGCCTGTCGCCTGCGTCCCCGCTCACCTCCCGGGTCTTCTTCTTCGACGACAACCTCGAGTTGGACGGCCTCGAGCTTAGTGGATGTTAACCACGCGGGGGCAGTTGTTTCTTCATTTGTCAATTTCACACGGTTCTCGGGCAACCAGATCGGAAGAACAGCAGTAGCCCAATGTATCGAAAACAGAAGCACAAATGGTATGTTAATCGAGCCGAAAACGGCGCGAACGAGGGTCCCCAAACGGAAACAAACCTTGCCCCGAAAACTCGAACAAACGGCCCCCAGCGCTACTAGCATCATCTGACGGGCCTGTTTTCCACTGCCACCACCATAAGTTGGAGGGGGGGATGGGGTGGAGGACGAGGAGGATGAGGACGAGGATCAGGACGAAGAGGAGGAGGAGGAGGTTGAGGAGGATGACGAAGAGGAGGAGAAGGAGGACAGGACAGGACATCCGCATGAGGGAGTCTAACGTCAGAGCACCTACTCGGGCGATCTGCGCGCTATTGTCAACATCCCCTGCGATTTGTTGTGCTACAGCCCTGCTTTATCACTAGGGCCGGCAGCGAGCATACCCCGTAGCTCAAGGACCGAACTCCGAGGTGGCCCCGTAAGAGAGGCTCGCTGCCTTACATCACGAGTCCCACCGGGTCAGTTTAGGGGGAGCAGCTGCTGGCCCTTCCGCGTGCCCTAGGGGAGGGGACGCGCGGACTTAGCAGGGCGCCCAAGCCAAGGGTGGGAGGAGACGACGGCACGACCTCAAAAGGAGGAGAGGGGGGAGAGACGGAAGGCCCGAGAACCCAAACTGTTGCTGGGGGGGGCTGGGGGGGCTGCTACCACTGCAGTTTTAATTCCGTGCTCCCCTCTCCCACTCAGCTCAATTCTCGGTCGTTCCGAGAGATGCTCCATGTATTGTCACAGCTGCACTCTGGTACCCTGTGAAGTAGCCCAAGGTTCCCCCTCGGAGAGTGCGATGTAGAGCACACTGGAAGTCACGGTCATAGGTAGGGCCAATGAGGAGCACAATGGTGGGTTTCTTGATGGTCACCTTTTTTCTCCTTCCACACCCTGCAGTAGTGTACATGACGGTACTCCAAAACATACTTCCCATTGCGATGGCGATGCAGGCGCATTGTTGTGCCCATATTGTTTGTCATGAGATGCACTCCGAGAAACCTCGCTAATGCTCCTCCTGACTGTCTGTGGGCACGGCCAGTTCGCTCCTTGCCTAGGTGAGCACTCCGAGAAACTTCGTTAATGCTTCCTCTTGGCAATTCTGCAGGCTCCAGTGGGAGCGCTCTCTGGTGGCCGCTTGACCTGACCGCGCTCGTCTCTTCCGATTTGGGGTAGCCGAATTTCTCTGCGAAGATCTCGGTGCCATCCAGCATGGTCTGGGTGCTGTCTTTTAGCTTCTGGCCTTCCTTCAGCCTCTTCACTTCCTCTGGGTCCATGTTGTCATCGTTTTTCATCTCCCTGATGACAACCTGCATTACTTTGTGGAGGTTCTCTTCAACGTTTTTCGCAATCTGCAGCGCCAGCTCGTACCAGCTCTGCACAGCGAAGGCCCCCTTCCCTGACCTCTCCCATTGAACCACTGGGTATCTTGCACAGTTGGAGCACATCGAATAGCTCCTATGGGCTCATCTTCTTGGCCGCGTCGAAGAACTCGTAATGGCACTCCTTGATGGCGTCGTTGAGTAGCTGCGGTAGCCTTTCCGAAATGAACGCTTGCCATGTGGTTCCCATCTCGAGCTCTACCACCATTGATGGCCCGCTCTTGAACGGGAAGAACTTGCATCCGCACCCGATCTTTGGCCATTTCTCGCAGTCTGCTCCGAACGTTTTCTTCATCTTGTTCACCCGTTCCGCCAAGAGCACGTCCTTTGGGTGGTTTTCCGGCGCCCCTACCAGCTGCAGCCAGTCCACCTTGCACCAGAGCTCCCACTTGTCGTTCCTCGAGTGGGGACTGGGGTCTCTCCACAGCTTGTTCGGGAAGGCGAGCCCGCACGAGCAAGCTCCCCCCTTCTTATCGTCCCATCAACTGCCCCTCCTGCAGACGTTGAACAGCTGCATGTTGTCGCTCCACTTGTCCACGGAGTCCAGCGCCTTGCGATACTCTGGCTGCTGCTCCCCCTTCTCCTCCGCCGTCATGTAGTCGCCCATCCTGTGCATAGCTCTCTCTTTGTCTTCCAACTCTTGCGTTGCCACCTTCAGCGCCTCTTCCCCATGTGCGTCCATGGCCATGCACTTGTTAAGCAGGATGTCGCATTATTCTGCACAGCGAAGAGCCTCCGTCATTCCCGCTCCTGCTTTTCTGAAGGCTGTAAAATATTATTCCAGTCAATGTTATACCATCCAGCAGCTATGCCATCTCTTTTGACTTCTGCACGGCGATCTTGTTCCTTTGTGTGCGAGGTTTTTTTATTTGGGCCTCCTTCTTTTGCCAGGTGTACTTGAGCAGCTCTGATCTGTCCGAGTGCCTGGGCTGCCCACGCTGCGCCTTTAGCCGTCCTTTTTTTTTCTCGGAAGACCTGCTCTTTCGCAAAATACGTTTCTCCACCATGCAGTGTCCTTTCTTCTTCGTCCCAATGTTCCCACTCCTCCCTCGGCTCCAGTTCGCAATCGGCGCGCACTCTTTTTCATTCGGTGCCTTTGCCGCCTTGATCCTTTTCGTGACCTGGCTCGTTTCTCGCGTGCTTCCTGCGGCTTTCGATCATGTCGTAGTACTGGAACCCCTTGTTGCAACGCCCGCAGGGCCGTAGTTGGCTGCTGGCCGTGAAGGCCATGGCCCACATGAGCAACACACTCTGATAAACTCCGCTAGTGCGCCACATTGCTCGCCCAGGTCAGCGTTGAGCCAGATCAGTTGTGGCAGCCGAGGATGAGCGATGGAGATGTTGCGCAATCCCAACAGCCCAACTGTCCCATTATGCATGTAGTACTTCTGAGATGCTGGTCCCATCTCCCCCAGTGAGGTAGTATTGAATTTCCAACTGCCCTGTAACCTCGCAGTACCTCGTACTCCGTACCCATCTCTCCCCATTGACCGTGACCCGTCTTACATTGTGCGCATGCTGTACATTATGCAAAGTACCCCGCCCACCACCTCATCGTATCTTTACTAGAACGAGCGAGGGAGAAACGTATCGTGTCGTCTTTGTAGATAGCGTTTCCTATTGATTGGGCTGGGTAAGCTGGATCTTGCCAGGCAGGCCTTTCCCCGGGGCGTTTCTCTGTAATTCAGCTTCCCGTTCTGCTCGGAATTTCAGGGCTATGTCGTATGATATTATACGATTCGGGGCAACGCGTACGGGTTTGGTGAGGTTTTCAACGTCCATGCGGATCGATTCTGGAATTCTTTCATCAATTGGAAGGTCCCTCTTACAATTATGAGCGCTGCTTGGGCGCTCCAGCTATGCCCAACTGCCCCGGGTGGGGCTCTCCTGAAGCGGCGCCCTCATTGCATGATGCTGTCGCCGACGCTGGCGCAGTGTATGTGCCTGTCCGCGTCAGCCGCGGCCTGGCACTCTGCCCTGGGGACATTGCATTCCGAGAAAGCCTCGCTAATGCAACCACTCCTTCGGATCTCTGCGGTGCAGCATTCCGAGAACCTCGCGAATGCCACCGCCACCTCCGTTCTCAGCGACGCCTACGTTGTAGTTCCCGCTCCACCAACCTGTCCAGCTCCGATTTTGGTGCCGCCGACTGGGACGTCTTGCCTCCCACGTAGACGATCAGCATGCCCATCGCCATCCTCAGGTTGTGGCCTGCGAACTGTTCCAGCTTCGCCATGGTGTCTTCCCTCATGTTGTTCGGGAGTACCGCTCTGAAGTTGGGGGACTCGTTAATGCCGATCTGGATCTTGCCTGAACCCTCTTCCCAGAACTGCTCGTCCTCGTTTGGGCTCCTGTTCTTGCTGTTTCGCGCCTTGTAGTTCACGCTGACCTTGCACGTCCTGATCGTCTCTGTCTTCAGGAAATCGTTCAGTGTGTTCATGGCGCTGTCTAGACTACTGTCGTTTCGACTTCCTTCTGCAATTCCGACACCACCCCCTGCATGCCTCCCAGGTGCACCATTCCCGTGCGCATTCCTGGCGGCCCAAGCTTGTGCCCCTTGCCCTTCTCCCTGACTTGGTTTCCGTAGCTCTGCCCCCCTGCCGACGATTTCCGGAAGGCTAAATTGCTGACTGACGTAAGAGAGACGCCCGATGTCACGTGGCTCAATCTCTGATCTCCGCCGCCGAGCGGAGGGCTAATCTCTGAAGCCCGTTAATGCACCCTCTTAGGTCGAACTCCTCGAAGTCGTCCTCCGCGCATGACTGGCGGGGGCGTCGTCTGCGCCCACCTCCTCCGCCTTCGCCGTTCCCCCTCATTGCCGCGGCCGTCGTTTGGGCAGTGGCAATCTCCGCGGTGCCATCGCCATCTTTCACGCAGTACGGTCCCGGATGGTGGCAGTGCACATGCATGTGAAAGTTTTGCAAGGATTGAGCCTGAAAGCCATTGAGGATGCAGATGAGGGAAGGGGGCTCACGCACGGGGTGATTCCAGCAGCTTCTGCTTTTGCAACATATCCCGTGACTCTCTGTCGCTCTCATCACATGGTCCGTCGTGATTTTTTGGACGCGAACGAGCTCATGCACCAAGGACATTGATTCGTGATCACCAGGCTGGGAATCAGAGAGAGACAGTTGTGCACCACTCTCCTGTGCCCTGCCAGCGCCGCCGCCCTAGTAAATAGTGCTCCACGCACCTGTCCCTCTGTTCCAATTTCCCAGTCACACCAAAACTGAGCCACCACCGCTCCACCCGCCGTATTCTCAGGCAACATCGTGTCCCGTGCTTCTCTAGATCGGGGTACGATACTGGGGTCCGTCCACACCCGTGCTTCCCAATCCTTCGTGTTTCTCTTGAGCATTGAGATGTCTGAATACCTCTTCGGGCACCAGCTCCAGGCGTCCTCGCTGACCTCCGCCAACGCCTGTAAGTCCCTGACCACCTGCTTGGCCCAAGGTGTAGATGCTTCGCATATCCATCCATGTTCCATTATCCTGTCCCGGCAGAGGCTATCCAACTCCGACGCGCCAAGAAAAGTTGCCAGCACAATGCCAAAATCCTCTGGATATTTCGCCCATTGTGTGTGTATCACCGCAGCGTGCGTACCCTCAGTGCTGTCGAGCAGGGCGGTATCCTCCATCTCCTGAACAGTTCCTTGTTGGCGTAGCACCGGGTCGTACCATCCGCTTCCACCCAGCTCGCCTTGCCTCCTGCCATCAGGCTCAAATGAAATGTCATCGTGCTGTCGAGTGCCCTCAAGTGACGCTCTTCCAGTACAAGTGCCGTCAACCCGCTAAGGCCCGCTGCCGCAACAAACGCCTGAAACATCACCTTCTTTATTTTGTCTGTCGTATCTGATGACCAGAAGCAACCACGCCGTCTGCAAGCCAGCTGCATGGCCTCGCATATTCTCTTTATCTCTCCTGCGTATCCTTGATATCCTGGTAGGTGCGGCCCCGAAACTCTCATCTCCCTCACCGGCGTGCTATTGATCTTCTCCTCTCTGCAGCTGCATTGTGGTCCCATCTCGCCCTGGCCCTCGAAGAGTCACAAGGTGGCTGGTCTTGGCTGGATCGAGGCTCCATCCACCTCTTCCCAGCTTGCTCTCCAAGCGCTGCGTGGCGGCGTCGATCTGCTCTGCAATTCTTGTCGCGTGGGCTCTTGCGCGATCCGAGATAACCTCGCTTGCGCCTAGAGCCAATTGGGACTTGGAGCCTGGACGAGCCGAGAGATCCTCGCGTTCGGCAAGCCCCGCCCGGTGTTCCGAGATTACCTCGCTAACTCCAGTTACAAGAGGGATCGGGCCCGACGAGACCACCGCGTGGATCTTGGTGATGTCGTCCGTGAGCGTGTTGAGCGGCAGGTCGTGCTCCTGCTCGTTGACGGGGTCCACTGTATCATGCATTGTCTGCATCTCGTCCCTCTCTCTTTCTTCCTGGTGCCGTTGCTTTACTTACGGCTTGTAAGTGTCGTTGAACTAACTGCCTTGGGCACAAGGTAAATTTTATTTGCGCTCCTCTCGTGGTCTTTGCATGCAGCCAATCGTCTGCGCATTCCATACCCATAGACGTGTAGTGTCGTGCCTCGACCGCAAATGGTAAGTCCTCCTTCTTCGACGTGGCGAAGACTGATGCCAGTAGGAGGTTGCTTGTCGTACTCGCGAATGCGTTTGTGCAGTCGCAATTGCTTGTGATAGTGCTTGCTCTTGCTCGCCTTGCATTACATTGTGTAGCTTCTGCGTAGGTAATCGTATTCTGCCTCGATTCGTTTCTAAGCCCTCCCTGTGCCCAGCAGGGGTGCTTCGGTGCTTTTCCTCTGTGGTGGAAACCTTTGTGGAATGCCATTCCAATTGAGCGGTAAGCATGCGTGACTCTTTCCCCTCCAATCCCTTTTTTTCTCATTGTCCTTCTGAGCTGGAAAAAGGATACAGATCTGTGCCGGTCCAGTGGTGTAGCTTGTGATTGGCGACATTTGATTAGGATGTTTTCCATTTTGCTCTTGCATTTCATGCTTGCTTCCTTCTCCAACACTTTAGATCGCAGCACAGGTTTCTCGTATCTCCCTAGGTGGTACGCTTTCTTTTCTGTCGCCCTCAGTGCCTCACCGTCATCTTCTCTGCCTGCCCTGCCCAACGCCCTGCCCGATGTCCAAACCATCTTCTGTAGCATAGGCCGTCCCATTCTCTACCTGTAAAGCGTGCTGTGGTTGTCCAAGTATTCCTTGTCATCTCGCTCCTCCCCCGCTCGTACTTGTTGTTCCTCCAGCTTTTTGCTCAGCTGCTCAGGGTCCTCCAGGTTGACTGTGGCTTCTAGTATCAGCCATGTCAGTTCTACTGGTATTCGCCGCGGTGGGAAAGGCTTGCCTTTTTTGTCGCTTTCTTGCAGGACTTCAGCATGTCTCTCTTGTCCCTCTCCACTTGTGCTTACAACTCCATCTCCAGTGGTGGCGGCATGTTCCTGTCATCATCTCATCATGTTCCTTCTCATGCTCTGCCAGGTCCATCGGCTCTGCTACCAGCTCCCCTCTGGGGGGGGGGTGTTTGCCCAGGTCTGTGGGCCACTCCTCTGTGCTCCACCAAGTCCGCGCTGAGACATAATATCTCTTCTTTGGTCCTCTCCCATTCCTCTGATATTCCACCCTGAGCCTGTGCATCTCGCTGAAGTTGTTGTTCTTGTATGCTCTCCATAGTTCCGTTTGCCAGCTTCTTTGTTCCTGCCTTGTCTTATTCCGTCCTATGTTTACGTAGTACATTTCGTATTTGCGCCAGCTCCTTCTTGATCTCCTCCACCCTCTCCTGCATGTCAGAATCTACCATGATCGTTTTCTGCCCGTATGAATGCGGCCACCCCCTTGTCTTCTTGCTTCTTCTTGATCGGGAATACCTCTTTCATGGCGTTCCTGCCCGCCTCGCTTCACGTCTTCCACATCTGATCAGCCGAGAGGCGCTCCTGCAGCTCTCTCCATTTTTCTTTTGCCGCTAACTCCCCATGAGTCGCGCTCCGAGAAAACCTCGCCAATGCCTCTCCTGGGGGATCGGCAGGGCCCTCCTGGGTGCACTCCGAGAAATCTTCGCTAACGCATCACTTGAAGGGACGACCTGGGTCGCACTCCGAGAGAACCTCGCTAATGCTCCTCCGGGCTGCTGCGACTGGGCGGCCCGCAGGTGGCGGTCGATCGTGCACAGGAATTCCGCCCTCAGGCGATCCTTCCTTAGGCACTCCATCAGCATGCTGCGGTCCACGTCTTTGTCTGCTCTTTGCCACCTGTGCTTGCCCGAGAAATGAAATTGATGCTCTGGGGATGTGGTCTCTTTGCCCTCTCGCTTTGATCTTTTGCAGTTTATTTGCCGCTCCTCTCAATGCTGCGCACCTCCGCACAGGGGGTAGGGCGTCCGACGGCATTGCTATGTGGTTTCTTTTTGCTCGCTAACATCTTCTCGTTGTTTGATGCAGTAGTATGTAGGCCCACAGTCAATGAACGTCGTGACCACTGACAGTAAGCTGTGAACGGGAAATTCCCTGAATACTGTGCCACTGTCGTTTTCCATTTCCTTGGCCACAGGTCCCAATGCTGCTGCGTGTTTGCTCGGACTGTGCAGGCTGACCACCAAGTCCCTGCTGTCTCACTTGTGCAATTCCAGCTGGCTGTCGATGTCTCTTCGTAGAATGATCGTAGATTTGCCACCTGTGTCGTCGCATTTCTCCTCAATCCACTTCATATTTTTGAATTCATGCCATTATTTGTGTACCCGTTGACTGGCGGTAAATATGCTACAAAAAATGTGACGACGTAATTTCTTGTCCGCAGTATGATCCCTGCCGTTCGACCTTGCAGTTGGGCAGGAGGTGAACACTGCGTGTGGAAGGCCTTGTCTGTCATCATCTCGTTGGAAACCAGGAGCGTCGTACCACAAGACTAGTTGATCATTTTTCCTTGTTTTGCCCTGGTCTGCAATGCCATGTGATATCTGTGGCTCGTTTTCTTCATCGGCTCTGGCCCAGCCCATTGGTGAGTCCCTGCCAGTACAATCACATCCCACTCTCGTAGTGCACTGGTTATTTCCTCCAGCCTGTCCGTTGTTTTCGCCGAAGAGGATTGCATAATATCAGCTTCATCAGTGCCCATAACGAGAGCGCTGCAATCGCCATCCATTTGCCATGCACCCCTGGCTTCTTCTCTGGCCCGTACGGTTGCGGGGCGATCGTCGTGTGAGAGAGTTTCACAGCTCCTCTCTCCGTCGATTCTCAAAGTGCCCGAGCCTCCAACGCCGACAGGAGAAGGAGGAGGAGAAGGGGGAAGACCCAAGACCCCCTCCCCCTCCAACTTCTGGTGGTGGTGGTGGTGGACAACAGGCCCATCACCTTCTAAGGCTTCGAGGGAAGTTCGGGCATTTGCAGCCTCCGGGACGTGCAGAGCGGCGAGTTCGTGGACTTCGCCGTCGGCCGGAACGGGTTCCAGCTCGGGCGCGCGGGCGTTGCGCAATGGGGGGATACAGAGCATTTTAGGGGCATCTTGTGTGCACTGTCGAGACCCTGGAAGTCCCCCCTGGAGCCCGCAAAGGGGCACGAAAGACGCATGCTCCTGCCGTTGGCGACGCGCACAAGAGGGAAGGGGGAGGGGGGAAGGCTTCTCAGAATGAGGCCGCTTCTTGGAAGGCGCCGGCCCTATACTTCTACAGACAAGACCCGTGCCTTCTAAGAAACAGAGGTGCTAAGAATCTTTCCCCCCTCTCCCCACGACCCCCTCTTCTGTGCGTGGCCAGCACTGGTCGAGGAATAACGTCTTTGGGGGGAAAATCAGCCTCGAGTTTATCCATATCCGTAGGATCGGCAAGCCAAAGGCGATGACAATCTCAGGGATGTCCCTCAGAAACTGAGGGAATCCGGGATATCGGCACGGAGGTAAGGAAATGTCGATCATATGGATAAGGGTATGTTTCAGGCTGGTAAGGGCCTTAGTGGGCCCTTGGAAACGGCAGGGCTGGTTTTTCACATTTCCCACACAGTGTCTCTTGAAAATGAAAACGGCCAAGGAGCGGCGACCGAAAACGGCGAAGAAAACGGCTCCAGTATTGGAACCGCTGCCGGAACCGGTAAATCAATGGCGACGGAACCGGTAACAAAAACGGCGTCGGAACCGGCAAGGGCGCCGGATGAGGGACCACTGAACAGAGGAACAACAAGCCAGATAGACAGAAGCTTCCGTTGGTCCGCGTGGATTTCCTGGATCTGCGCTGGACCCCCTTCCCTGCCGCGCGGAGCGCGCCAGGGGTGGCGCCGGAGGACCCAGCGCCGATCCACAGGAATCCGCGCGGAGCTCCGAGAGTCTATGTGTGCGCGCATGCTCGTGCAGATCGTCAGCAGAGGGATCTGCTTCGGGCCGGTACGGGCAGGCCCCCCCCCCTTCCAAAAACCTTCCAGAAAGCCTTCCCCCCCTCCCCTTGCGCGTGGCCAGTTCCCCGTTGCCGCTCGTCGCCCCCCAGATGTTCAGTTGAGCGGCGCTCCAGGCGCGCGGGCCGGCACACGGCGATCCTGCACATCTCGGGGAAGGAAAGGCCGCACAGGCAGGAGCCGTCGGAGCACCTCGGAGGAGCAGAAGAGGTGATGAGAATGACACGCTCCAGGATGGCCAAGGTTTCCAGGATCTTCCGCAATTTCCAAATGTTCTGCACCGGCTGTGCCAGTATCCTTTCGTCTTCTTCGAATATAAGACGTCTGCATTCTCCTTTTCGTGCAAATGTTCCAACACCGATGCACCGATTCCGTTACACGTGCATTTTCCTCTTTGTGCGAGTCCAGGGTTTTTGTATCGGGCCTGCTTGGTTGTGTGTGGCTGCGTGGATTGGCAGTCCGCTGGAGAGATGTGGTGCTTTGCGTGTTCCCTGACCTTCCCTTTCCCCCCTCTCCAAAACATCGCGCTGGAAAAAAGTTCGGCACCAGCCGCGCCGCCAGATACTCCCTGGAGATCCTGGAGCGCATCCTGAGCCAGTCTTGTCGTGACGTCATTCTCGTCCTGGTACAGTCGGCCCGGATTAGTAGGTCGACCCTGCCAGCTCAAGGGTACCCTTGTGTCCTTTGCCTCGCGACACGTGCCTTCTTACATTCCTATTGCGATGTGGCCCTCGGAAGGGTCGTGTGTCCTCTCGCGTATCCTGTCCAATCAAGGCCGACTGTGTCGCGCCGACTTCGTGGATGGGCGCCGGGGATCCCTGGCGGCGCCTCCTGCGCCTCTCCCGGCGCGCTCCGCGCGCCAGGGAGGCGGGTCCAGCGCCGACACGAGAAATCCGCGCGGGCTCCGACAGTTCGTGCTCATGTTGCTTTTTGCTCGTCGAGCAGCGGCGAGTTCAACAGCGTCCTCGTGAAAGCGAACATACTGGACGCGATCGAGGACCCCGACTACTTCACCCGCATCGTGGAGGAGTACTCCGCGCCCGGCGAGAAGGCGGTGGTGTTCATGGACGTCAACTCGACTATCGTCTGCAACGACTCCGTGCAGAGCAAGGATCAGGAGGGAAAGAAACACAGAGACACAATTAATCGTCGACTCCCAGGAAAATATGCAAACATATGGGAAGTGGTGGGGAAGACAAAAACCCAGAAAATATATGAAAATATGGGGAATCGTTTTATTTGTGTGAATTTATTTGTGTGTCCAAGTTTCCCTTCAAAGGACCTCTCGGCATCCCTCCTCAGCACCATGTTCGAGCTCATGGAGCTCAGCCCGAGGACGGGATTCGAGTTCGCGTGGGGAGCCTGCCCTCCCGTCCACGTCCAGAAGAATCAGTCGCTCAAGAAGCTTGTGAAGGACCTCACTGCCAGCAACATCGACGCCTACCGCTCCTTCTTCTCCGAGGCCACGTGCTGCGGCTTCATGTCGACCCTGCTTCCCTACGCGGACATCAGGTGGTCGGACGCTCTGGAGACGCTGGGCGTGGATGATTTCATCGGCATGTTCAACGAGTACATGGGCACGATATCTGGTGGCATCGACAGCAACGGCATCACGCGGAGTTGGTTCCGATGCTTCGATGCCCTCAGCAGAGAGCACGCGCTTATGCTGAACTCGTTCGGGGTGGACACCCGCAAGGTCATTCTGGCCACGAGTTCGGACGAGAGCGACGTCACGCAGATCGTGGTGAACTACGAGCTATGGGACAAGCGTGATGTGGAGAAGTTCGAGAAGCAGTTCTGCGCGCCATGAGCGCCACTTCTCCCAGACATGCTTTGGTCCGCAGGTCTACCTGCGAGTGGCCTGGGCGTATTCTCCTTCCTTGTGCGCTCCGCCGCTTCATTCTCCTCCTGCTCCTCCTGCCCCCATCCGTCCTCCTCGACACCTTGACTTGTCGTCGCATGAGGGGGCAAGGGCGAGGAGGAGAGGCAGGAGCGGGCGTAATGAGGAGGAGGAGGCATGATACCTCCTCCTCCTCCCCCTCCTCCTCCTCCTCCTCCTCCTCCTCCTCCTCCTCCTCCTCCGCCTCCTCCTCCTCCTCCTCCTCCTCCTCCTCACGCCTTCTCCTGCACCTCCTCCTCCTCCTGCACCTCCTCCTCCTGCCCCATGGCTCTATCCGCTTCCCCTCCTCGCTCCAGTTGCTGCCAGGAGTGTCCCCGCCCCAAGGTTCTCCCCAGGATTTCCCGACAGGCCCTCACGGCCGCCAGAGAGCACCGTTCGCGAGGCCCCGACGGCCACAGGGGCTCCAGCAGGAGGCTTAAAGGCTGCGGGCACCTTGGGCCAGGGACACATTCAGCAACCACCGACCATTCTGTCTCCTGCTCCCGATCCCCCTTCTTCTCCTCCTCCTCCTCCTCCTCCTCCTCCTCCTCCTCCTCCTCCTCCTCCTCGTCCTCCTCCTCTTCCTCCTCCTCCCCCTCCTCCTCCTCCTCCTCCTCCTCCTCCTCCTCCTCCTCCTCCTCCTCTCCCATGCCTTCTCGGGAGGAATGTTGGGAGGGGATATGCACAGGGGGGGAAGCATCGACTTCCAAATCGCCCATTCATCGCCGATAGTGGCCCGATTGCCCACCCAGGATCGCGCGGATTCTTTCTCGGGTGCCTGTCGTCGATCTATCGGTGATGAGTCGCCGATTCCAGTTCGTTGCCCCTCACGTCTTCCCCTCCACCTCTGCCCTGCGCAGCTCGAGCGCATCCGCCGCAACGGAGCGGGGGCGAGAGAGCGGAGCCACCTTTGTACCGCTCCCTGGAACATCTGAGCCATCCTGTGGCCCGGGGATCGCTAAGCCGCTTCCTTCGCAGGTCCTTTAAGTGTGCACATCGAGGGAGAGAAAACGGTATCATAAGCTTTGGGAGCTCCGCGCGGATGTCTCGGATCGGCGTTGGGTACCCCTCTGTGGCGCGCGGAACACGCCACGGGCGGCGTCGGAGGTGCCGCCAGGAGGGCCCAGCGCCGATCTAAGACAACGTCCGCGCGGAGCTCCGAAAGTTCACGTGTGCGCTGTTTCTGTTCCTCTTGCACACCACGTGGCGGCCCTGCACACGCAGAGGCGTGTGAGCACGGCCGAGCGCCACCAGTCTGCGCCCGGCCAACTGGCCTCCTCCCTTCGCAGCGCCGTGCCCGGCCGTGCCCCGCCCTGCCGCGCAGGGCGGGACACCCGGCCGCGCGGGGGCCCGAAGGCACGCACGAGCCACAAGCCGCTCGCTTTTGAACGCGCGCGACGCACGAGCCGCCGCCGGGGCTCGCTCCTCCTCCTCCCCCTCCTCCCCCTCCTCCTCCTCCTCCTCCTCCTCCTCCTCCTCCTCCTCCTCCTCCTCCTCCACTCTCAGGGGAGGAACTGGGGCCCATACCCCATACCGCTGCCCCGGTCTCCCTGTCGCCTGTTGGGGTCTCCCCGTGAACCGATGTTGAGTTGCCGTTGTCTCTTGTCGCCCTGCTCCGAGATGAGGAGGAGGATGAGGTGGAGGATGGAGGATGATGGAATGAACAAGGGAAGGAGGTGGAGGATGCAGCATGAGGAGGGAGAAGGGACAGGAGTCGGATCATACGAAGGGGGTATCCTCGGTGATGGCGGCGTTCTCGGAATCGAGGCTCGAGGTTGTCGGACCTGTTCGTCGGTTCTGGGCGTTTGTTTTCCAGCCTTGGGGTGCGTCCCAGCAGCTGCGCCTCTCTGGCCCTGGCGCACGGACGCACCCGCACAGCCCACGGGCGGCTGTGGATGAGAGCGTGAGCGGTGCGATGGCATGCCCGAGGCCGACTGGGAGCTCCTCCCTCGTCCCTCCCGGCTCCTTACCCATCCTCCATCTCGCCCTCTCATCCGTGCCTCATGCTCCGCCCCCGTCTCCCGTCTTTCTCCTCCCTCCTCCCTCCTGCTCCTGCTCCTCCCGCTGCGCCGCCACCCGCCTAGACCTATGAAGGCTGGAACTGAAGACGGAAGCTGAAGCTGACAGATGGTCGCCACACTGCGCGCCCATCACGTACAGCGACACCGCGAAACCTCGCGCCAATGGCCAAGACCCAGTTGGGGCGCAAAGGGCAGTACCGCATGTCGTGCACATAAGACAAGGGCCTGGCATCGCTCGGACGTGTGAATTGTTTTTCTCGGCGCGGACCCTGGAGGAGCATCCTGGATCACCGAGCAAACAAAAACACGCACGCAACCGAAAAATACACAGGGAATGGCGTATGCAGCACGTCTACGAGTGCGCCTGTGACATCAAATCCATACACTTCTAACCGCCGTTGCAGCAACGCACCGACGTGGCTCCAGGTCGTTTCTGTCGTGTTGCAGCTGAACCTCCGCAGGCCCCTCGGACGACCTTGGGCCGTTTTGGGTGCGCTGGTTTGACCGAGCCTTCCAAAGGAGAAGTCCTAGCATGATTCTGGGGCGCCTTGAAGGGTCTTGGGGCCGTCGTGGGACCGTATTGGTATCCTGCGGGGATGCTTGGTTGTCTGGATGCTGTCTTTGTCTGATCTCAGGCCGTTGTCGAAAGGCGTCGTGGGGGTCCCCCGGCCGTCTCGACGATCCTTCGAGCCACATTGGGGCGGTCCAGGGTCGTATTGGGTGGTGCTGCTTGAACGCCAAGGAGGTTGGGTGAGCGGGACAGAGAAGCATCAGAGTTTCCTACAGATTGCTGCCGCCAGGGGGGGCACGCCTCCCCCCTGACAGATTTTACATGATCCCCACTACAGTTGCTTCCCCGCTCCAGCTCTGCACTGTCAGGCCCGTGCTGCCGCCGATGAATGGGGGAGTCGGCACCGCGACGAAGCCACTCTTTGAGGCCGCGGTGATGTCCCCCGGCCGAGGGCCTCGAGATCTCTCCCGATGGTTCCTGGTCCGCGCTGCGGCGGCTTGCCGAAGCCACTTTGAAGCCGCTGCCAGGCAGCTGGGAGGCCTCGCAGTCATGCCCCTGACGTGGGTCCAGCCCCAGATAGGGTCGGAATAGGTGGGGTCGGAGGATCGCGCCGCATCGCCGATGCATCGGCGACGCGGCTGGATGTGGAGCCCGATTTGCTTCACGTTGGCGTCGACGATGCATCGCCGTTGCATCGCCGGTGCATCGCCGATGTATCGCCGATGCATCGACGATGCAGCGCGATCCTCCGACCCCATCTACTCCGACCCCTGGCACCCCTGGCCCGAGGCCGATGCCACGTTGCGGCCCTCCAGTTAAGGTATCGGCATCTCCCAGGCGCGAGCCCCGCAAGTCATAGCTCTCGGCAACGGAACAAGACGGATGATGGCAATTGCCAGCGATGGTGACGAGAGGGTCGACGGTGGGCTCTCATCGGCGTTCCGAACGTTCGGTGGCGATGCGATGCGGCGCTCGGGGCTTCGCGTAGCCTCGGCGCAGTGGCGAAGGATTTGGAAACCGTAGCCTTCAAGGACTTGATGTTGTTTGTTGGAGACGATCCCTGGATCCCACGATCCCAGGCCCGGGCGTACTGGTCCTTTGCTAGGGTTCTACCTACGGTGGTGCGGATAGGCTGTGGCTGCGCCGGGAGATCTTCCAGGAATGGTCTCCAGTGTCGCGCGCGCTGGTTTTTTCCAAGGGCGTCCCCAGAAACCGTCAAGAACTATCGCGCTGGCGCAAGGCTCTGCTCGCGTTCCGCAGTCTGCGTCGAATGTATATAAAGCTGGATAGGCGGCTGTAGGCAGCCCAGATGATTATAATTCGACGCCCCAGCGGGCAGCCCAGATGATTATCATTCAACGCCTCAGAGGGCAGTCCAGATGATTATCACTCAACGCCCCAGCGCGCCAGGGGGCACGATGTCGGATACCTGGCACGTAGAACTATCAAATGAAAGGACAGAGCTTGCGTCGCTGACAAAGGGGGGCGATTGTGGACCATGCTCGTAGCCTCGTTGACACTCCGCACTCGAGAGCGTTCCTGCCCTCAGCTCTATACCTTCGTCTTACCATGCGATGTCTTGAACCAACGGGCAAACGTCCCACCCCCTCCCCCGCGGGCAGTGCTCCGCCTCGGCCCAGCTTGTGCTGGCCCCCGGGGACCGGCAACCGGCCCCCCTGGATATGCCGAAAGGGAGGCAACGCGCCAGGCTAGAGCGGACCAATCCGCCAGAGAGATGTCGGCAGCTTGCTGGGGGCCGGCAGATGCTTAGGACAGCCAAAGAGCATCCCCCACCCCCACGTGGCCCCTCTACGAATCGGAGGCTGCCAGAAGAGTTCGTTGGGCAAGGTTGGTTTCGCTGGACTCGAGGTCCCTCCAGCCCGACCTTAGGCACTCCAGCACGACCTGAGGCGCCCCAGCAGCCGTCGAAATCACCCTTCTTGAACCAGACCTTCCTCGCCGTCCTCGAACCAAGAGGGGCCAGCTAGGGGGTGGGGTATACCGTGGGCGGCGATTATCGCCCCCTCCCTCCCCCCAACCCTTTTCGGCGAAACTCCGTCGCTGTCTCGCCCCTGGGAGTGATATACCGGCCCACGGTGGGGGCCCTTGAGGTCTTTGCCATGCCTCTGAAGAGGTCGTCTTGAGGCCTCTCGTGGGCCGATCTGCTCCCCTTACTCCCCCCCCCTGCCTCGGAGGCATTCCATTAATCAATGTGTTGCAGTGCTGGTGCTGCCGGGGTCGCTCTCGGCGGTCCCCCTCTCTCGGGCATGAATCGATGCATGCCGGGTGCTGCGGACACCGCAGGGAGCTCGCTCGTCGCCGCCCGCTGTGACGTGTTTTGCTGCCTTTTTCTCAGTGCATCCGCAGTGGTCGGGGGGCGCAGCTCTCGGAGGCGGGTC